TACAAAATGGATTTTATTTTCTGTATATCTAATAAGATTTCATCATATATGTTTACATTATAGATGATGAATTGAACATTACCTGGAGGAAAGTTGGGTATTGATGAAGGAAGCTTGAATACGGATTCAATAGGCAAAGGCTTCAAAGGCTTCTTATCTTTCTTCAATATATTTGCAAATAAATTGGAGAACGGTCCCATGATTTTGGTATAAACGTGTTTCTTGGTTACGGAAACTTTAATTGTCTATGTAATTATTTATATATATGTTATTTAGAAAACGAGAAGTTAACAGAAATGTAAAAGAAATGAAAAGAGAAAGCTGGCTTTGCGTCTGGTGAAGTTACATGGCGTGCAAGGTATCCATGTGACTAGCTTTAAGTGGTAACTTAAGCCTTCAAAGACTCCATCAACCCCATTTGGTATATAGAAATATCCTTATCATTCTTTTTCATGACTTGTTTATAATTTTCAAAAAGAGAATAATATCGTTGTCACAACACACAATCATCTTATCTTTGAGGGAATATCAAAACACCTCCGTTTTATATGCCAACTTTGGCTATATATGTGACATTGGAACACGGTTAACCGGATTCTGCTTAAGTTGTTTGCATGAAATGGAAGCAAAGACCATTGCTACTTTGTATTCATATATATGAATATGTATGTGTTTTTTTGATTTGGAACGACCTATTATGATTAACTTAGGATAATTATTATGTTTCAAATATTTTCATTTTATCAATATTGTTCCTATTTGGTTGTCCTGAATTGATGCCGGACGTTAATATTGGCATATTGCAAACATTTTCTGCCGATTTGTTTGGGGGGTTTTCTGTCTTTTTTCTTTTGTTTTGGATGAAGTGTTGGGTGGCTTTTTTATTTCTTCTTTTGAAATATAAGTTTCACTTGTCGCATTTGCCCGATGCGTATATCTTATCACTACAAAAAAAGTCTTTCCTACATAAATTTTAGTAATGCTACGATTTTAATGACTAATATTATGGTAGTCATCACTCACGGTTCATATACTGTAGAATAAAAATTATATATATATATATATATATATATATATATATATATATATATATATATATATATATATATATATATATATATATATATATATTGTTTAAATAACATAACAAGTATTAGTGACAAAAAATAATGGTCACTCTATATTAGATGCTTAATGACTAAAAAAATTGTTACCCCTTTAAAGTCTTTGGGCTATTTAATTTTCCTTTTACTGAATAGTAAGAGGTTGCACTCCAAGTCAGAACGTTTTATAATCAATTTAGTTTTTTTGATGGTCACTAGGTGAGAGATCCGTATATTATACGGGTTGATTTAAAAAAAAATAGAAACATAAAATAATTTTTAATGTATAATTTTAAAATAAGAAAACAAGAAATGTATTTAATGCAATTTAATATGTATTTATATATATATATATATATATATATATATATATATATATATATATAATATTTAATACTTTAGATATATAAGTTCATGATTTTAATTTTAAATAATGAAACAAACAAAAAATTGACAAGTCGTACATAAATTTTGGTAATGCTATGATTTTAATGACTAATATTATGGTAGTCATCACTCACAGATCATACACTGTAGAATAAAATTAGTATATATATATATATATATATATATATATATATATATATATATATATATATATATATATATATATATATAGTTTAAATAACATAAAAAGTATTAGTGATAAAAAATAATGGTCGCTCTACATTAGATGCTTAATGATTAAAAAAATTGTTACCGTTTTAAAGTCTTTGGGCTATTTGATTTTCCTTTTACAGAATAGTAAGAGGTTGCACTTCAAGTCAGAACGTTTTATAAATCAATTTAGTTTCTTTGTTGGTCATTAGGTGAGAGATCCGTATATTATACGGGTTGATTTAAAAAAAATATAAACATAAAATAATTTTTAATGTATAATTTTAAGATAAGAAAACAAGAAATGTATTTAATGCAATTTAATATATATATATATATATATATATATATATATATATATATATATATATAATATTTAGTACTTTAATACTTTACATATATAAGTATATGACTTTAATCTTAAATAATAAAACAAACCAAGTGGATAATATTTATATAAGAAATAGTATAAAATGATAAGTGTTAAAACTCATGAGAGATTGATATGTGTCATAAAAAAATCTTCATTTATTAAGGAGTATTGTCTATCTCACCTACTAATTTAAAAAATAAAGTCAATTGGAAACTTTGATGGTCTTGCCATTTGCCAACTTTCGTTTCTCCTTCACTCAACCAAATTCATATGTCTCCTTCAAGTCCACCGGTCTGAAGTTAGCACATAGGAGCCTCCCCCTGTCGTCGACATCGGCCTCCATCAACTCCTCCCCATTGTTTCAACAAGTTTTGTTGATGCGCTCGTACATTAAAAATTGATATGATTTTGAAACAAGATTGGTGATAAACTCATACATAAGAAATCAAAGCATCGTATCAGAGCAACCACATCACTTGACACATTCTTGCCCTAGGTGATGTCCTATCTATGGATTCTCACTTCCTATTGTGTATTCTTTATTTATGTCTAATTTATTGTTAGATTAGGGTTATTAATCTTTATTGATCGATGACTCTTTATCTCTTATTATTAATGGTATATATGTAAAACCAAAGTGTGTGCTAGTCTTTAGTGAGTAAATGGCTGACGAAACATGTTTTCACAATTAGTGTTCAGTTCTATTTCAGGATACATACTTTCTCAAAATTTGATGTGGTGGCTTTTATTCTTTTATTGATCTTCCTTTTCCCTATTACTTGTAAGGCTATAACGAATTGATTTGGTGGTTTGGTGGGGAGGTTGGTTATGATTTTAGTTGACAAGATTTTCCTTGGAAATAGCTTGCATGTGTAACCAATGTACATTGCCAGTATCTCTTGTTGTATATTGTTGCCCCCAAACTCAATAATTTGCGTGACTATTATGTATATTTTTCTTCATAAATATCCTTTTTTCTTAATTCAATGACTTGCTCGTGTATTAACGTTGCGATGACCAATGTTGCTTGAACATGCATGTTTGAAGTACCCTTGTTGGTAACCAAAAGGTAGTTGATGTGCAACGTTTATGGTCATCTTTTCAGATTTTATCCGTGTTGTGTTGCAGTTTTTATAGCAACTAGTTTTCTTCTGCGAGTCATTGAGACTTCTTGTATGATACAAGGAACGATAGTCATCCGCTAACGTTCCAATCAGATTAGAGTGTTGTTTTCCCTTATTATCAAGGCTTTTTGTATGGTACAAGAAATGGAGTTGAGTTCTAATCAACTTTAAACTAGTTATTGGGACTTCTTGTATGGTACAAGAAATGGTAGTCATTTGTTGATGCTTCGATCAAGTTATGGTGTCGTTTTTGCTTTATGAGAAGTATTGATGTTTTCTTTTTGTGCTCGTATTCCACTAGATTGTAAGTTCTTGGAGTGGTCTTCCAATCAGCCTTAAACTAATCATTGAGACTCATTGTATGGTACAATAAATGGTAGTAATATGTTGACATTTCGATCAGGTTAGGATGTTGTTTTCCACTTAGGAGTAGTAATGATACTTGCTTTTTGTGCTCATATTGTGATAGATTGTTGGTTATGAAAGGTCTCTTGTTTATTTTTCAAATTGTTTTTTGCCAAGTGTCTTTACATGTGAAATTTCCTTATATTTTTGATGTGTCAGCACCTAGAAACTGTTTCTCCATTCATTGTTTCCAGGATATATGATTTTTCTCTATTGGCTTCACTGACCCTGCATGATCATTCCCAGTTCGGTCATAGTTTTGAAAGATCTTATGCTCAAGAGTCATTATAAAATAATATTTACTAATGGCATATGATCTTATAGACTCAGAACTTATAGAAAGTTACTACTAACGAATTATTTATTAGAATAATTTTGATTACAAATAAATATCAACACTTGTATTTAATTGAAAACTTATTATTTTATTCAAATAATATTTTGCCAACATATTGGGAACTATTGTTTCTATAAAATAATAATATTAAAAACAAAAAAAATTAGTAAATATGATATGGTATAAATATTATAATTATCTTCAATATTTGGGCACTTAGAGTAAACCATTTAGTTAGGAAGTAACTAGCTAGTTATGTATTATGTGAAAGACAATGCACTCCCTTGACTTTGTGCATCAAAGTCACGGTAGAAGGAAGGAAGTAAGGGCATGCTTGTTTTCGTTCATCTTACACTCCATACTTGACATAAAAAACACCATACTTTCATTTGTTATACGCTTGACCTTGTTACATATTAGGATATATAAAAGGAAGACTTTATTAGCATGAAATGGTTGTTCTTTTGTTGATTTTCTCTTTATATGGGGATGCCAATTTCGTGGTTTTAAGCCCTGGTCCCTTCTATTCTTTCTTGCAAATTGCTGCTTGAATTAAGGATTCATAAGTTGCTTCTCTTTAAGGTTCATTTGGTATGAACTCTTAAGGATAAAGAACAACTTCATTAACTTCCATCTCCTATGAGAATCAAAGCCTTCAAATGTTGTAACACTTTACCTTTTATGATTGATTTGATCTTTCCTTTATTCCAAAGTGATCCATGGTGGGTTAAAACGAATTTTAAATTTATTTTATGTTTTGTCTTCCATTGTCATTATTAGTATTTTTGGAAAACGATTTTGAATAAAACCCAAAAATTGGTATCAAAGTCATTTTTACAAACTTGGTTAGATTATTATATTGTTTCGTATAATCTTTGTTTTTGGAAAGCAATGATGACCTTTTTTTGTAAGAAAATTCACAAATATTTTGTATGACAACTCTATATTTTTTATTTTAGTAACAAATGTTTTCATGCATTTTTTGTCACCAAAGTTGTCTTAGAAAAATAAAGTGTTGTTTTGCAAAAATTTTAGTGTGTGTATATATATATATATATATATATATATATATATATATATATATATATATATATATATATATATATATATATATATGATGTGTATAAACTAGTCATTGATCTCTTGTGATGTGCTTGTGTTGATTTGTTAAAATTGTTGTAGTATATATTTATTCGTATTATATGTAATAACTAAATAGATAGTTTTCATTTTGTTTATTATTTTAAGTAATATATTAGTT